TGTTCACATTTCTTTCTTTTATCGTCATGCCTTTCTAATAAAATTGCTCTACTTGCTTTTCTTGTTTTGTGCCATCAGCTGGGAGATCTCCTCCAGCCCTCAATTTATCTGTCAGTTTTGGATATTTTTTTCTTTACATTTCATCTGATTTTTCTTTTCAAACATGGAGCATGGCTTCTCAAAAGCTAAATGGCTTTAAGCGATCAATGTTTAAATAGTCCCTAATGTGATAGGGCCATTCTCCTAACAGACAGTGAGCTGTTCACATTATCTGCAGTTCCTTGGAGAGGACTATACACTATCCAATTACAGCATTTGGTGTAACTTTAAACCCAGAATTGATAATGAGTGGTAGAAATGGCTTCAGACCATTTTTCTGGGTGAATCCAATTGTTTAGACTTTATATTGTTCTCAGCATCCCACAGCAACTCGTGTCCAGGTGCCTCCTTGAGCCCTTGATCCTGTATCTCCTCCCAGCCTCTGAGATCAAGGACCTTATGGATTATGGGCTACTTAAAGCATCTGGTGGTAATCAGATGGTATCATGATGGCATTGTCACTGGAGACCACATTCTGTTCTCTCATACTGAGCCAAGTCCTCATCGTTGAGGCAGTACATGTGAGGATGAGCCCATGCTGGGATCTTCGCCCTCTTCTTTGGAGACAGTTCACTAGGCTCCAGGCAGTCTCTCATGTGCACCTATGAAGTGTACTGAGTCCATGATAAACCAGGACTGGCATCAGCTCAGCTTCGTGCTCCCCACTCTCCCAGTTCTATAAGGGTCTTCACTCTCCACTGGAGGATGAGGTGTCTCAAAGATTGGGTCATAAAAGCCAGTCCTGAGCACTGAACTGGTTTTACAGTTCATAAACTGGGGCTATATTGTAGTTATTTAATATCCTAGTGAATAAGGAAAAAAAAAATCCCCTTTGGCTCAGATGAAGTCCTCAGAATTTTTCAGAGCTACCCTGGACTTGCACCAGATTTTTCCTTTTACTGACTTATGTTTAACACCAGGGGAGAAAAATGCTACCCTTGCAAAACTCATCCATCCAAGCCTTTGAGAACTGGTCCATATGGCAATGTGTATGTGTGCTACACCTGATGCCAGATACCATATGCGTGGTAAGAAAACAGTTTTAATTGTATACTCTCCTGAGGAATAACAAGCATGATGATTTATCAGGCATCATATCACATGGCAGTAGCAGAAAATAGGCATTCAAGCTTAGTTTCATAGGCATTTCCCTTCCTGGCTGGAGAACCTAGTCTTATAACCTAAGATATCCAGGGCAGATTACTTACTTATCATTATGTGTATCAGTAAGTCTAGTTAAGAGATCTTCTGAAAAACACAACAGGAATGGCCTTGGACACAAGGCACTCTCATGTTTATGTTTCTTTTACTTCAACTAACATTTTTTCCCCATCTTTGATCAAAGATCTTGGCTGACATGACCTCAGGCTGATGATCTAACAAACCTTCCAGATTTCTTTTTCTCAGATACCAAATCTAGTAAGTCTTTTGTCTCTACGGCCAGGAAAGCCAGCCAAACATGTTCCTTACATCTTGATAGGGTCCATAAAATGCACATGGTCTGCAGAAGGACAGAGCAAGGTGTGGTTATGCCGGCCTGTAAGACTTCACAGAAAAAAAAAGTGAGATAAACGAGTTGTCTACTGAAACTCGTCTTCATTCACCAATGTCTTTGTACACAATTTTTTCTCCCTACTGCTTATGAATATCCTTTTTTGAGCAGGATGTGCATGCAATGTAACATAAATATGCTTACATATACTTATGCATATATCTTTCACATACATGATTTAAGTTCTCCCACACAGCCATGGGAAATCTCTAGAACTAAAAGCAAGCTGAAGAAGATGAAATACTGTGCAGACGAACAGGAAAGATGAAACGCGGTATCTATGTATTCCCTAAGAAAAATATTTATCTCTAATATATACAAAAAGCTTTCTTATGTGATCTGGATGCAAAATTTCTGGGGACATGAGGGTTTAAAAATGACTTAATTTCAATATTTTCAAATGTGTATGTGAGTTGCATAAAATACATGGGGCTTACAGCACTATAAAAATGCATGCATAGTTTGCAGCATAAATTAGGTTAATAGCTCAGCATAAGATCCCTATAAATACAAGGGTTATGCTGGTGGGCTTTTTTGCAAATCATTCCAATAGGAATTATTGTGGGAACTCCCACTAAGTTTCCAGCCAGCAGCGTTGATGCATTTGAGCTGTAGCAATTTGTTGTGCTGCCCTCTCAGACCACAGCAGCACCCTAAAGTTGGCTGGTGTCAGCACCGGAATACACATTTGCTTTCCCTGCAGATATTGTTCCTGTTGGTGTTTTTCAGCCAGACGGATGACTGCTTGCCAGACCTGAGAACTGATTTTGCTTACGCCATAGCAGAATTGTGACAAATACAGAAACCTGTCACTTCTGTCAGTGCGGAGTGGCGGCTGTATTGACCCTAGCTGAGGCTGAACATTACCCCATTCAGGTGGCAAAGCAAGTGCCAGAAGCACAGCCACGATCCAGGAATTGTTAAGAAAGCAAAAGCTGGGAGGCAAGAAACTAGGTTATTGCCTGGTGTGTTGTGTTTACATTAAAACAAAAGTTTAAAGCAGAGAATGTTTGCTTTTAGCCTAACTCCAAAACACAAATAACTATTTTTATGAAATTCCAGGTACTCGGAGATATATTTTTTTTCTTTTTTCCAAATTGATGTTGGGAATTGGGATAGGAGACATTATAAATTATTCCCAGGATTCAGTGTACAATATTTTGGTGCATATCATATATCCAGGGAAGTACTGACATTGGAGAGCATTACAATCTCATAATTTAATAGTAATTTTTAACCTGACACACAGGAGAATTTTGCATTTTATGTAATCTTCTTGGTATTAGAAATAAAGCAGAAGTCTTGTTGGAAGGTCTCTCCTCTGTCCAGGCAGACACTCCCGTGCAGGCCGGGCCTTTGCATCCGTCACTGCTGTTCATAGCAATAGTAAATAAAATTTATCTAGAAATTGATTCAACCTGGCCAAAGTGGAGCAGGATGACAGCCACGATGTGAACAGTAATAGCTGGTTTGTTTGTAGAAGGGTTTTTTTTGTAATTTATTCCTACGAACAACACGGAAGAGAAAAAAATTAATTCTCATGTAATTCCTCATATCCCATAAATTATTTCATTGCATTTTATGAATGTTCAGTTCAATTCACAATAATTTTCCAATTTCAGTCTTATCTTTCTACTTTACATAACCAGTGCTTACTTGGGCTCTTTCCTGTGACAGGCACGGTATATTGTGCTTATTAATGAGTGCCATCTTGCTAAGCGATGCACTGTTATAATTGATGTTTTGAACGTTGCACACTTTAAAACATTAATCCGGGAACAGATAAGCAAATTAAATTCACTGCTGTGATGGACATGAAAATAATACTTCTACTTAGTTCTCACTACCCAGTTCAGATTTTTGTCATTGTTCCATAAGTTGCAAAGTTATTAACAGTCAATTAAAAGCTTGTCTGTCTGGGAAAACGCTTTCAGCAAGTCTTTTTAACCTTTAGGCCTACAATTTCCAGCATCTGTAGTCATGACTGCTATGATATATTGGTTTAAGATAAAATTATATTTAACATTTTTTGGTTTATTATGTGGTGAATTCCTTGTGAGGAATCGAAAAAAAATTAATTTGCTCCCCGCCTACAGCACAGTGCTCAAAAGACATAGAAAGATGCACTTTGAACCAGGTAGCAGTTTTCATCTGAAGGATATCAAAGTGCTCACTGCAAGGTGGGAACCACAGTAGGGAAAAGCTGGGAGATGCTGGGATTTAGAAAACTACAAAAATGTCTGTGTATGCTATGACTCTATGTCACATGGACATAAATTAGCTTTTGAATCTTATAAGTGTTCTTGCTCTCTAAAATACTTAATGGTTTCAGATATAACATACCAAGGAGTTACATATTTCAGTTTGGCCTTCATATTGTTTTACATCAGATAGACCTCTACCTATTCTCAGTAGTGCTCACACGGGTTGTCCTTATTTCTGTGTAACAAGGCAAACACTGAGGATCTTATTTATTGGGTTTGGGTCCTTTGGGAGAGGAGAGCTATTATTTAATTTTTAATTAATATGATTAAATGTTTATTAGGGCACTACATGAGTAGCGTGGTGAGCAAGCCTGAAAGGGCTTTTTCCCTGGAGGTAGGATGTGGGATGACCCACCCATTTTGCACCCACAGGCACCCATTAGAGGTGATCGGCTGCTGGTTCCCTCCAGAACACGTCTGGCTTTGAGAACCCTCACGCTGCAGGGGGCCTGAGCCCTCCAGCTGGTGAGGTTTATCATCCTTATGTATAACCAGCTGGTTGATGTATAGCTACAAGATCAAACGGTTGTTAAAAAGTGAGGGTCCCTGTGATGGGAAGCTGATGCTGGGGCCACCGGCAGCAGGGGTGGATCAGCTGCTCCAGGGCTGGGTTGTTTGTCCCTTTAGCTTGCCCTGATCTCTGGCTTTGCTTCTGATTGCTGTAGGGGGGCAGATGTCCACCCCTGTGCAAACGATAAGCCCTAATGGATGCTGAAACTCTTAAGGCAAGGTTTTGACTGAGGACTCTGCCTTATATTCTGTGAAGCCCATCAGGTGCAGAGCTGTATTAGCAAATTGCTCTTGTGGATCTGGAGGCTGCTGAGCTCAACAGGGCACGGTCAGGAGAGGACCCTTGGCCAACTCTAGAAGCTTGGCGGGGGGCGGAGGGAGGGGAGGGGGGGTTGCAGCCTAGCTTGGAGCTGGGGTTTCTGAGCAAAAGCTGCAGTGTCTGCCCAGCTCCCCTTGGACATGTGTTATCTGCAGCACCCAGCAAAACCCTCCAGCTGCTGTTCAGATGTTGGTGAAGATTCAGGTGTTCTGTGCTCAGCTTCCAGTAATTTCTTTCTCTGATTATTTCATTTCAGCAAAACCATTTGAGAGCGGACAGTACCTGGACATCTATGGAATTACAAGAGACCAGTCTGGGGAATATGAATGCAGTGCAGAAAATGATGTCTCAGTCCCAGATGTGAAAAAAGTAAAAGTCACAGTAAACTGTAAGTCATGTTGTTTTTTAATCAGTAAATCCAATGGAGAAGAGGGATGTGGCTGAGAAGAAAAGTCAAATGCAGAGAACTGCTGCTTGTGGTGAAATTGTAGTGTGTTTGGGTTTTGTATTACAGTAGCAAAATGACCTGTGCTATTTGATGTACAAGTTAGTCTTATCAAAGGAAGGGAAAATGAGATTAAGGTTCAAATCCTCCTTTTGTCTGCCAGGGGACAGTAGTGCTGGCGTGCTGTCACAGGCTTTGCAGCAGGTGCTCTTGCTGGGCTGTGGTGCTGAGACTCAGTTTTTGGAGTAATTTTTTGAGTAATTATCTGAGTAACTTCTGAGGACTGCTGTGGTTTTTGGGCTGAAGTGTTTCTGATTTAATTTGCCACAGTTGTGCAATAATATAAGGAGATGAGTAACTTCTTGAAATTCTGTTTGGGTGATTAGATGGTGATCAATCTCCGTGGAAATCTGAAGTACTCCCAGTAAAGGCAGCAAGTTGTTTTGTGCTGTTGCCCTGATGTGAAGGCAAGGAGGACTTTGCTGCTGCACAGTTCTGCTGTAGCAATCTCGGTGGATGGTGGGTAACACCAGGAACTTTCAAGGTAGCCTGTTACCTGTCCCTGCAGCCTGTCAGGTCTGACCTTCTGGGATTTTCATGCTGAGGAGGTGTTTCTGACTTGGGACTGAATTTGGTTTAGCATTTGGTATGACATGAAACTTTCAGAACAGTGTGCTTTTTACCTCCAACATTTAAAAAAAAAAAAAAAAAAAAAAAGGAAAGAAAATGGGAATACTTACTCTCATTCATTCTAACTATGAATTTTCTTAGGTTAAGTGCAATTATGCAGCTTGTAATTTGTAACAGTTTCCAGTTTGAAAATTGCTGTGGCATCTTTATTGGCCACAATTTTTTGACATCTCAGCTTTCTGTCTCCCTTCACAGATCTTGTCCCTATCAATATGCTGTAGGTAGCAAAGCCCCTTGTCCCCAGGTCGCTGCAGAGCTGGAGGTGGGAATGGGGGAGGTGGGTTGTTGCAGGTGGGTCGCTAATGGGGCTAGCTGTGCTATCCAGGTGTTTATGGATCTTCCCATGTTCAAGAGCTGACTGGGCTCTCTTAATTTACATGACATCAGGGTACTTGTAATTCATGATGTCCTGGAACATGGTGGATCAATGCACTAATGCTTATAGAATGGCTCGATCATGTGCTGGGTCTCACAGACAGCTTTCTGTACTGCTTGGTCATGTAGGCTAGTGACGCTGGATGCAGATCCTGCTTTCCCTTTGCTGCTGAGGCTTTTGCACTGAGGCTCTGGTATAATGTGCTGTGACCATCAGTCCTTGCTTTACAAGTCACAAGGACAGACTTCAACTGCAGAGCAGCTCAAGGAGGCTCATGCAGAGTCCATCGCCATTCTCACTGCTGCTTTGCCCTCATTGATGTGTTTCCACCTACATCAGCTTTGCTGAATTCCTGAAAGCAGGCAGTGCCCTAAAAACTAGGGGTTATATGGGAGGAAAAGCCACAATGGATGGTGTCCTATGGAACAAGTGAACATTATTTTTTGCACAGTATGTTGTTAGTGGAAGATTGTCAATAAGAGGAGTTGTGCAGATACTTGCATAGGTGCACCCTGGGTGTTTTGGGGTGACACCTTTCACAGTACACAAGCTGTACTTGAGTACACAAGCTGTACTCAAATATTTTGTGTTGTTAGATAAATAACTTGCAATAGGGACCATAAATGGTGAGCTCAGTCTAGTTTTAGCAAAACAAATATTGCATCTGTGTTATTTCATATCATGGGGATTTTAATAAGGGTGAAACTAGTTGTCTCAGAGGCTTTCTAAGTGTTCACAGAAAGGGAAAATTTGGTAAGCCTGTGTAGCAGTTGTTTCAGTGTTTGAGGGTTTTTTGTTAAAAAAAAAAAAAGCACAGAAGAGGTGGTAAACTCATGGAATCTCTCTTGCCTTCTGAGCAAGGATCTAGACGTACATGAGGTTTAGTTCAGATAAAAGCATCAACTTAGTTGGCCAAAGCCAAATCTTAAGCTTAAATGCAGTGCACAGCTGATGTGCTAGTTGGCGCGTGCTCTGCACCCCAGTTCATGTCAAAGCTGGAACTATTTCTGACCTCAGTTTACCATTTTCTTAACGTGAGTTTTGAGTCTGTCAGATATCTTTGTGGGTGGGAAAGATCAGCTTTGACAGCGTTTGGAAGGTAAAGCTGAGCAGTGATGGCTTGTTCCTGTACCAGCCCTTGGCTCTTCCTCCAACCCCTGCTGTGGGTCTGCATGATGAGCAAAGGTCTCACTGCGGCAGCTGGGAGCAGGACCAATGACTCCCGTGTGGCCAGCAGCAGAGGCTGGGTTGCAGGTGGGATGGGATTTGCTCTCCCTGAACACCAAGCAAGGGGGTAATGGGAGAAACAGTGTGTCTGTGTCAAAGGGTGTGCAGGCTCAGGAGGTCATATTCCTCCTTGGTGCATACCACAAGCAAGAGGTGCTCAGGTTTGACTGCAGCATGCAGTGTAAGGGTACCTCTATCTGCAGGGAGAAACATGTTACAGACTGCTAAATCAACCAACAAGCTCGGTAAATACTTGAATATAGTGTCCAAGCTGATCTTTGTCCTGATTCAGCTACCTGGGCTAAGCTGGAAGTGTCCTTGGCCATAGTGTGGATGCATGTGGCATTATGCCAGATTCAGGCAAACTTTTAAGTCTGCACTGGGGACATACAGAGTTGTTGTTTGTTTGGGGTTTTTTTTTTTAATATTTCTTACAACTAAAGAAGAAAACGGGCGGGGGGGGATAAAATTGGGCAATGTAAAACTAGGATCTAGCTACATATGAAACAGTTTGTATACATGAATGATTTGTCATAGTCAGCTAATTGCTAATGCACTGTTGTTTGGATTTGTATGTTGTCCCCTAGCCAGTTAAGCACAATGCAAAAGCACTCCGAACATCTGCTCCCTGCTGATGATGCTCATCTGTTCTGACCAGGCAGAAAAATGGCTCGTGGCATTTAGGAGAGGGTCACGCTGGAGGTGGCCAATGCTGAGAGAGCTCTCCTTGCTGTCATCAGCCCTGTGGGCACGTTGTTTGTGGCGGGTGGGATGTGCCGCAGCACTGCAGTGGCCAATGCTGCTGGGGTGAGCTTCGCTTCCCAGCACCTCAGCATGGGCAGTCCCATTCAAAAAGGGATGTTGTGTGCACGATCAAACCAGCAGAATGATGCCCGTTTGCTGTCTGTTGAGTTGGCCCGGAAGGGCAGCTTTCTGTCAGTAAAAGCTAAATATTTCATTTAGGAGAGCTGTGGTTTGTCTACTATTCACTATTTACAAGAAATGTCTATCAAATTTGTTTTAAATCTGGAAAGATCTTAACAAGAGAAATATAAAAGAAGAGAGGAAGCCTTCAGGTCCTTTTGTTACACTGGGTTGGGCAGTTTCCTTAGTCAAATATTCTTCAGTCCTGTTTTTTCTTTTAAGAAAATATGTGTTCATTTGTCTAACAAACTAATAAAAGAAAGGCTTTCTCGCTCCACCCACCCCCCCCCCCAAAAAAAAAAAAAAATCCCATTCCTTTATTTTCTCTGGTTTTGCAAACTTTAATTCTCCTGCTAATGCCCTGCCGCATGGGCTCAGCACCAGCTCTGCAGCCTCTGCTGCTCCTCACCCACCCAGGTGTTATTTGGTTATTGTACTTCTGGTACAGGGATGTTGTACCCATCTGCCAGGTACCTCCACCACGTGTTTAATTCCACTTACTTGAGATTTGGTTCCTCAGCGAGCGTCGCTGAAGCTGTGACCAGCACACCAAACTCCCCTCCTTTAGTCTTACAGGGATCCTGTAACTTCACAAAATATCTATCACCTTTCCCACCTGCAGTGCTTACAATAGAAAATACTCTTGGAAGTAAGGTGTGTGGCTTATGCTTCACCTCCTGCTCTTGCACCTTATGATCTGACGGGGTATGGGCAGTCATGTGCTGTAGAAGCACCACATCATCTCAGAGTCTGAGTAAACCCTGTTTCATCGCTGTGTCCCTCCACCGTGTCTCGTACAGCAATGTCTTGACGTACGATCTCCAACATACAGAACGACGATGGTACAGCACTACATTTGCATGAATATGATCACTTAACCGCTGCTTCTGACAATTTTTAATCCTGTTTCCCTGTTATTAAAAGGAACATTCTTTACTCCAGACCTGATAACTGTAGAATAAATCAAGGTTTTATTGTGCCCAGTTAATAGAATGTATCAATGAGCCCTGAGCAGTTACGGTGGATATAAGCATAATTTTGAATATGGATATTCATCGTATATAGCTGTTGTTCAGTCATCCAAGCATGTACAAGAAAATTACCAGGTTTAAATTACTTTCTGAATTTCAAGTTTCTTGGCTGGGCAACTTCCAACCATACATAAACAACCAGCTTGCTGTCTGCCTTACAGCACATAAATTATAACTCTAATGGCTTTGCAAGGTTTTTTCTTTATACTGCTTCATATTGCATAATCTCCCTTTTCTACTTAATTTATGTCTGTCCCCCATAATTTCCCTTTTAAAAATGGTGGCCTGAGAATCTGTGGTGCATTTGTCTGCTTGAATTCTGAGGGGGGGGTGGAGAAAAAAAGAAATTGAGACTGGTTTATGAAGAAGGAATACTATACTAAATCAAGTTAAAATAGATAAGATATAATCCAATTTCATTTCACAAGTACATCTTATTAGCATTTTCCATTACATTTTATAAAGCAAATACTGATTTATAGATTATTATATTGAATCCCACTTTGAACGAAACAGTGTCTGGATTAGCAAGACTTTAATATGTCACCCGAAAGCTGGTCTGAAACTGTACATATGGTACTGTAGCTTCGCTGACTCTCTTCTGGTTTATTAGTGCCATACTTAAAAAATATTAAATGCAGTTGCTAAATGCGAGAATCTCCAGAAGTGTTGAGGCCATGCTGAGATGATGAAGA